TGAAATTACCTCACGGCTCAGGGTCGCTGCACAGAGTAACTCAGACAATAATGGAAAGACAGAGTGGATGAAAGGAAAACGTGCTTTACCGCCTCCAGGATTAGACAAAAACCAAAGGAAAAGAAGAAGAAGTAGGCGGACAGAACTTTGTTGGAAGGGAGGGGATCCAGGGATGGAAGCAGGAGGGACAGAGGAGAAGGGCGGATGAAATGCGGGCTTAAGACACGCTGTGTCCGGGCACCAGCTCCCACAGGCACGCGGTCCTCCTGCACTGCAGACGTGCACTCGCGAAACATAAAAATAAAAACCAAATACGGGCTTCTGCTCTGACAGACCGGATGGAACAAATATGCGCTCTGGCTGCGGAGAGGCCGTGCAGAGCCCAGAAGGCCAGGCCGAGGCACGCTGACAGGTCCATCCGGTAGCCCCCATCCGACCTTGGTCACAGCCGCCCCTAGCTACAGGATCGCCACTAGAAGCACTTGCTTTAATCTTGTAGAGTGGCTAACTACGCTCAAGGCAGCAGCCTGACAATGTGAAATTGATGCTGTGGAAATGTTGCAAATTAGCAGATTTTATTCCCTTTCCTTCAGGCAAACCACTCTGAAACTGCTAGAGACAGATGGGCATTCATCTTGTGCTTAAGCATCTCCAGGGAAGCCTTCGCGTAACTTTTTTGCTTATCTCTATTAATTTCTTAACTAGGTTAACACCTTTTGCGCTTTAATTTGGCTTTTTGGGTTTTTTTTTATATTGATTTATTCGTTTAGTTAATTTAAGTTTATTGGTACAATTTAGGTAGACACAATGATCACATTCATTGTAGGGAATTTGGATCTGTACATGCTATATCTTCATGCCCTTTTCCCCCATTTTTGTCCCATTCTTCCAAAACCCCTTCCTCTCTCCACTCATAAACCTCTGTTGTCATTTTATCCTTCTCTGATCATTTTTATTTCCATTTTTCTTCCTCCTTTCCTTCCTTTTTCCTCCGTTCCAACCTCCCTCCCTTCTTCCTGTCCTTCTTTCCATCCTCCCTCCCTCCCACTTTCCTTCCTTCCTTCCTTCCTTCCTTCCTTCCTTCCTTCCTTCCTTCCTTCTGTCCTTGTCTCTTCCCTCCATCTCCTTTCCTCTCTTTTCCCCTCTCCCATGCTAAATTCCCTTTTCCTTTTGGAGAGTTTCTTCCTATTCTATATTTTGTTACCTTATTTTCTCCACCCACCATTAAACCCTCTATTTTTCTTAATGTTTGAGAAAATAAGATATGAGTATAACAAGACCATTAAAGTTGCACCAGATGATGATTTCACAGTAGTCATTGACAACACTTTTGCATAAGATTGATTTATATGTGTGATTTTTAGAGACCTAAATGAATACGAACTGACCTGTTGAACTAAAGTATATTATCACCAACTGGTGCCTCAGAAAAATGATAACCAATGTCTCATAGAATTTCTAATCAAATAGT